TCCTCTTCAGCCTCTCCCCGTTGAACGTCGAGAATGGCGCCTCCGCCGGGTTCCTGATGTAGAACCACTCGTCGTGCCATCCCTGGTTGGAGTCACTGGGGGAGTATGCCAGGTAGGGGACCGACGACTTAGGCCGCTTCTACAGGGTGAACCCGTCGACCGGAGCGATTCTGTGCGGTTTCCCTCGGACAGGGCCCACCCGCTGAAGATCCATCGAAAGAGGTCCACGTGCGGCTCCATCCAGAGAAAGGCCTCGTAGACCGTGACAAAGCTGGCGATGTGTAGTACTCCAGTCAGGTTGAGGTGTTACAACTCTAGGCCCCACTCATTGAGGAGCCCACACAGAAACCAGTGCGCGGGGTACCCAAGTCCGCGCTCGTGGAAGGCAAGGAAGGAGACGACCTCGTCAGTCTAGGGTTGCGGAACAACCTACCCTGGTGTGAGAGCCCTCTAATACGCCACTTCCTTCAATGGGAGCAGTCCCTTCTCAACGAAGGCGGCCAGCACCTCCTCATCCAAGTTGGAAGGCCTCCAGTTCGACATCGCGCCATGGATCTATGAGCGGATCTATTAGTTTTTCCTCTCCCTCACTCTACTCTCCTCTATCCTAGAAACCCCCACAGTGCATGAAGGTGCTTAGTAAGAAGAAGGAAGAGAAAGCGGCGATGGTGAAGGAAAGGCGAAGACACGGGAGAAAACCCCTCTCCTCCCCCCTATTTAAATGCAAAAGGACGTGCAGCGGGACATGGCCTAGCTGACGGGACGTGCTTGGCTAGCGGGATGTGGCCTAGGCGGGACCCACCACTACTGCAACTTGGGCACGGGAAACGAGGTGCAGCCACATGCAAACGACCCTCCGCTTTCCTAGGAAAGGTTTGGAGGGGCCCACCGACGGAATCTCCAACGAGGAGAAGCCAGTCGGTCACCCAAGTCGATTGAATGGCTCAAGCAGCTACCGAGAAATGGGTAAGGAGCAGTGGGATGCCCATGCAGGTTATGCTGACTCTGTCATGAACGACGGACCTAGATTCCACTCGGACATATCCAATAGGAGCTCCCCGAACCCGTCACTCCAACCATCGAGGTAACTTTACCAACCCCTATTTTACTTTTCTAGTGCATGAGCATTCATTCATCCAATCTCATGCATGCATTCATCTCATACATCCAAGCATCACATATGCAATTGTTGCATCACAACGATTCGCGTCGCGTCACGAAGCGGTAGTCGTCTCATTCGATATGAGCAGCGATCGATCGGGGTTCGAAGGCCAGCCCACAAAGGGCTCGAGACCGCCTCATGTCAAACAAAGCTAGGGGAGAAAACGCAAATGAGCCCCAGCGGCCCTCGCCTGATCCGCTCAGAAGCGGGGTCATCTCGACCTTCTCGTTCGATCCTGACCAGGAGCCATGCCCACAGAATCTTCATCGAGGGGAGACCAGCGGGCCACCTGAGTCGGTCTCTAGAACGGCTCGGGCATCTGCCGGGAGGCGGGTTAAGGAGTAATGGAATGCCACATGTAGGCTATGCCGACCCCATTACGAACAACGGACCTAGATTTCACTCGGACATGCCCGCTAGTGAGCTCACCGAGCGCGTCAATCGAGCCATTGAGGCAAGCGATGTTAGCTCAACTCTTTCAGTTGCGGAAACCGTGGATGGGGTGACGTACAAAACTCGATCGACCCCGACCAGCCCCTAGTGGCTTGGGGGCATGAGCCACCAGATCCTGACTCAGGAACCCGATCGACCACATAGGTTGTGGTCGGAATGGACACGGGCGAACACCCCGATCGAAAGAGACACAAGAGTCCGTAGCCCCAAAAAAGTGTACCAAGGTGCTCAGCCTCTGACTGACTCCCCAGTCGGCCGTAGGCTCGGGGGCTACACCCACTGGGTGAGCTCGCGCGCACCCGGTGAAAAATGGATTACCAGCGAGTCTCCTCCTCAGGGGCAGGGCGCCTATGTCTGCACGACGCGCCTCCGCGGCCTTCGCCAGTCCCCTCCTTAGGGCTAGGTGCCAATATCCCTCTGGCGTGCCTCCGCGGCCTTCGCTAGTCCTCCCCATGAAGGCTGGGCGCCCGTATCCACTCTGCGTGCCTCCACGGCCTTTGTCATTCCTCACATAGAGGTTGGGCGCCTAAATCCTACTCGGTTACCCTACGCAGTACAATAAACCAAGGGGGAAAACACCGAAGTTCCAATAACAGTCCGCCTCCATGGCACAATGGGCACAGGAATTAAAAAGCAAATACAAGCTATCACTAAGCTAAAGACACAAGCCCCAGACTTTTACAATAACACGCAAAGCGTGTGTGAATAGTCCCGGGACTGCTCCGCACCTTGGGGCATAAAGTGGAACAAGGGAGCCAAGATCCTTGTTCTTTCGCTACAATGCTCTCCTCCCTCTCTCTGTCCTCTGATCCAGAATCCGGGACATGGGCCATTCGATACATACGATGCTCTCTCCTTACGAGAGATCTTTTAGCATCGTACTCCCGTGCGCCCTCAAAAGCGGTAACTCAACAGCCCCTTCACGGCTTCACAGATGCCCCAAAGGGGCTCAGGGGCTCCTGTCGGGTTCATAAACCCAGGGTCCCCAATGGACCCGCTTCCCTGCAATACTTGGCCCAGCAGGCGCCGCAGCGACAACGCACGTCTAGGTCGGCCCAGATACACAATGACTGGCCGAGACCATGATCCGGTCCTCGACTGGCACCTCCGGCCAGGAGATCTGTTCGGAGCCCCGACCGAAAGGCCTGGCCGTGGTGGGACCGCAGTCCAACTCCGAGCCCCTTTCTCCGACCGAGGATACGTCGGACCTCTGCTCGCTGCTCTTTCCTGACCGACACGGTCGGGGCTGATTGGGAACGATCGACCGAGGAGCTCGCTCGGTGTAGGCCCTAGGAGCAGGCGGAGCAGATAAGGTAAGACGCTCAAGTTAACCGCAATACCGAGGACCGTACCCTGCCATGCCCTGCGCATCTGCAGGACGGTGCCGTCGGGCCATGTCAGACGGACACTGTACAGCCTGTCAAACGCGTCAGAGCATAAACAGTATTGTGGGCACCGACGTTTGCCATACTAGGCGAACACTGTGCAGCCTGCCAGATACAATAGAGCATGAACAGTAGGGTGGGCGATGACGGCGTAAACAGTATGGCAGGCGACGACGGCCCATCCCGTACCCGATGGCGTGGGGCAACAAGACTAGGCAGCGCCCGTATACACACTCTCTCTCTCTGACTTGTAAGGCAATCCCCTTCAACTATAAAAGGGGATGCGCTCTCTCCTAGGACGGGAGGACTCTAGAACACGACAGCTCAACAGCTCGAGGACACGACAGCTCAACAGCTCTAGAACTCAACAGCTACACAGTCTACATGCTCTCAACAGCTGATAAGCTCGGACACACAGAGCATACGCTCCAATACTTAGCACACGTTTGAGCATCCGTCACTCTCTTCTACTCGGTTCAGAGTCTGATCGGGCCTCTAACATCCCCTTCCTATTTCTTACTCGTTTGTAACCTCACAGCAAACTTCGAGTATCCGGGCTCGGGAATAAAGTCACTGACCGACTGAAACTGGATGTAGAGCATGTTGCCAGAACCAGTATAAATCATGTGTCATCACGTGCTAGGCCACATTCGGTTACCGATAATATTATTTACATCACAATAATTGGCCAGTCTACAACGCTTGATGTTAGCGATGTGGACCGGCGTTCCCAGTGTCCCAGAGTAAAATTTCTCTATGGTCAAATTAAGGTAGATTGATTTGGCAGAAAGATGGAATTACACCCTTTGCGGATGAAGCCATGGAGGGAGTATGCGCCCCAAATGACTAAGACGTTTGATACAGATAAGATAATGAACAAGACATTTTGTTTCTAGATAGCCAAAATGTCTTACGTCAGTTTTATATCCTAATTTCCAAGACTTTCATGTATTGCAAATAATATAAAAGTTTTATCTTCCTAAAACTCACTTTAACCTATGAATTTTTTATTCTCTCTTCATTTAAACTATACCATGTCAGTTTATTTAATGGTCATGAAATCTCTACCGAGACTGACCTTTTAATTTAAAATAGAGAGAGTATTTGAGTTCTTTTCTTCTACCGTGTCAAGAACAAGATTAAAAAGTGGATTTACAAAGGAGATGCTCCAAAGGTTAATTACTTGCAAACAATAAAAAAGTTTCGTCTCTATAAAACTCATTACATCCTATGAAATTTTTATTCTCTCTGTTAGCTTATTTAATGTATATGAAATCTCCACTAACACCAGCCTTTTAATTTAAAATGGAGTGAGTATCTGATTTCTTTTTTTTTGTACCGTATCAAGAACAAGATTAAAAAGTGGATTTACAAAGGAGATGCTCTGTATACTCTCGTTATTCTTTACCACATGGTGGTACGCCGAGATGAGAAAAATTATTTCGTCAAACCAGAGACGAGAGAAATTGTTTTTGTCAAACCAGCAAACGAAGGGGAGGAAGGAGACGTGCTGCAGCCTGCAGAGGCTTTTCTCCCCCCACCATCGCGTGAGTCCACGGTGTGATGTCACGGAGCGGTGGCGGCTTTCCCGATTCACTGTGCGGGAGAAATCCCCGTGCAGCCTTCTTCCACCTCGTCCTACCCTCCGCTACTCGTCTTCGCTGATTTCTGCCGCTCCAATTCCATCCCTTTCCTGCTTAGAACTTCCTCTGCTTCTCCCCATCATAGCTTTTGGTGCCTCGTCATCGGCAACCTAACCGCCGGCGACCGGATAAACTAAGCCAGCCCCTTTGCTCCGAAAGTCGTCTCTTGTACAGAGCACTTGCTCACCTGCTCCTCGCTCCCCTCTGCTGGAACTGGACTTGCGCGGAGTGGAGATCCATCCGGACCTGGTTCGATTTCTTCATTTCGGTAAGTAACCCTAGCTTGCTGGGTTGATTCTTTGAACTCTTATAAGAGCTTCGTTTGTTTGCTGAAGGAAGGATTCCGAGTTTTCATCCATGCACGGTTCGATTAGGTTCTTCTACTCCAGAGCGAAAGATCAACCTCAGTTGACACAACATGACGATTTCGTGGTAGCCGAGGTGCGCGGGCATTTATTTTTCTGAAATACGGAGTAATTTGGAATTGAATCCCCATACCCCACGTCTGAGTCGTCCCCTGTGTCACTGTGTTGCCCTGCTGTCCTCGTTTCGTACTTGCTTCGGAGAGCTTGGCGCTGTTATTAAGGCAATATCATTTGGGAAGGTGATTCATCACTTCGGCTTTCCGTTACGAGTTGAGTTATTGAAAGCTGCTCTGTCGGCTTCCCAGGCTACCTCCTTCGAACCTGCATGAGCTCCTCCCTGCATGTTCTATGCTTCCACTAATTTATTAGCACTTTCTGATATCGTACATTTCTCGTGTGAGTGAATGGGTTATTTCCAAATTTACTGTAGCTATACTCATCCATGCTTGAGCTTGTGGTTTTAAATTTTTAGGACGGTCTTTGCTTCCACAAAGCTAAGCAAGCTGGGGCATAATCGCATGAGCTGGGAAATTTAGGACTATGCCTATTAATTAACGTTTGGAACTAAAAAAACATTCTTGCTGTTTTGCATACCTTACGTCCAAATGATGTGTTGCTGTACTGATTGTCTTTGGAATTATGAGCTGCTATTGACAGGATGTGGCATTCGGGAAGGTGTCACCACCATGATTCTCAGTTAACCACAGCTAAATGCTTTTTCTTAATCTTTCCAGGTTGGGAACATGCAGTTAACTCTGACCAGTTGCTGTTTTTGGTAGAGGTATGAATATGCTAGTGCTTAGATGGACTATCATTTTTTTTCCCATTTGTACCTTTATATAATTTATTATGTCGCTGATATACCTGGAAATTTGTTTCTTGTGATGGATAGGTTGCTTCTCTGTCCAGCGGGTGGATCACTGGACTGTGGGTTGTGCTAACTGCAGGCTGGCTTATCAGCCTACCATAAGGGAAGTGAACAAGAGACAACAAAGCAATTTGTTGTCTCATTCTTAGGAGCTGGCGAGTACTCGGTATGGCAGATGCTAGTCCGAGGACTGACACCTCGACTGTTGTAGACATGGATGATAAAAATCAAAGGGTAGCCCCTCTTTTCTCCATCTGTTATATGTCGTGTTCTTTATGATTGATCATTCACGAACTGTTAGGGGAGAAGAGAACATAATGTTGGTACCGTGCCTAGACTCTGATCTTTCTAATAGTCTAATAGGATGTGAAGAATTGGACTGTATCCAATAAATGGTGCGCTGAGCTCATGTTCTCTGATGCACATAATTTTTTGCCATATCTCTTTAATCATTTCCAGAACATTGTACTCTCATGCTTTCGTGTCAAAAGAAATAGATACAGATTAGGTATCAGCTTTCAAATTTGGCAATCTTTGTTTTTGGTCTCATGAAGTGGGAAGTTTCACTTGGAGTGTCCTTGAAGTATGAACACTTGAATACTATTAATCTCTATAAATGAAAACTTTGACTAAAGTAAGGATGTTGTATGAATGGATTAATCCCTATAAATCACTTGGTGATTTGAGATGGTCTAAATCCCTAGGAAACAAGTTATTTTTCTTGTATTGTCCTTCTTTCCTGTTCTTGCTTTTTATCTGTTTCATCTGTAGTGATCTTGTATTACGGTTTGGCACCAAGTTGTTTGCATGTAGCTCCAAATTTGTTAGATTTGCTTTTGAGTTTGCAAGCATTAACTGACGTTGCAACATTTGTTCACACTAAACACATCTTGCCTATTTTACATTTGAACTTTGATAAGAAAATTGATTACTAGTTCAATAGAACAATTTGATTTTGGACTTGGGGCCTTGGAGGCACAATGGACAATCTCCTAATTTTAGTTACTCATGTCAGATTATTTTACAAAATTTCAATTTCTCTCTGTGGGACATCTAATGATACAGGTCCTGTAGAGATGCATGTAAAGTGGTTATGTCATTGTGATGTCATTATATGTTATTTATTCCACTCATCTATTGTCTATGCATTCCAATTAAAAAAATCCATCATCTATATACCACTGCATGCCATTTTTTCCTTTACGTTATAGTTTCATGCATAAACAATGAATGTCTGTAACTTATCTTAATCAACCTCTGCAGTTAGAAAATGGACAGGGTGGAGCTATGGTCCTGCCTTCTAATTCATCTGATCGGTCTGACAGATCTGACAAACCTATGGACCAAAAGGTATAAATTTCATCTCCTATGTCTTCTGTACTCTTTAGTGTTTGTTACCATTTCACAATGATGGTATCTAGATAATGCATTTGGTATTCTGTAGGTTTTGCGACGGCTTGCCCAAAATCGTGAGGCAGCAAGAAAAAGTCGGTTGAGAAAAAAGGTATTATTAGCATGACTGTGGACATCTGGGAGCTATTGCTACATTTTTGTGCAGTGTGTGTCACTCCCTGATGCATGCATGTATATGCGCTAGTGTGAGTCAGGACTGTGAGGTTTATCTGCCTAGTTGTCATCAGGGGTGAAGCAAACCACAGTCCATTCTACTTGAGCTTTAATCTGTCCTGTCAACTACAGGCCCTAATATTCTCCTGATAATTACTTTGTAAATTAGGCTAACAATTTGGTTTTGTTAGATTGATGCATCAACTCTCGAATATTGACACCTATATAATTCTAATTTCTTAAATAGAGTCTAAATTGTACCAATTTACGTGCGCTGTATGTGATATCGCGTTTATTTTACGACTTCTATGCTTGCACATTTTTGTGAGCTTCTACGCAAAACAACTCTGCATCAAAGAATGACTTCAGTGACTTCGTGGAAAACGAGACCTCTGCCTTTTTTTCTTAATATAATGATACCTGTCTTTTCAAGGGAAAAGAAGAGAACTCCATATTGATTTTTTCTACAAATGCACACAACACATATGCTGGGCGTGTAATGTGTTAGGTAGAGAGGTGTGAGAGCCCGAGTCGGTGTCAATTCCTGTCATCCGCTATGGTTTGTGATTGTGTAGTATGGATAAGTTTCATTTTGTGCATCAGGGAGATCATACTGTATGGTGGTGCAGTTACTCTGATAGCCTGCAAGTGTGTGTGATTTAGAACTTCGGAAGTTTGGATCCCATCATTTTCTTCCATGTTTCATGATATTCTCAAAAAATTGAGAAAAAGACAAAAGATACCTTGGCTTTGAGAATAAAGTAACCACAAAGGCACTCCTTGTTTCCTAATCTGTTGCAATCTAGAGATAAGCAACTTGATTATGTAGATTGAAGTGTGTCCACTAGTTTTTCTTTGTTCACTTTCAGGTTTATTTATTTGCTATAAGCCCCTTCTAATATTTGTTGTTTTCAAAGGCATATGTGCAACAGTTAGAGAGCAGTAAGCTAAAACTTGCAAGCCTGGAGCAAGAACTCCAGAAAGCTCGACAACAGGTGTGTTTATTTGGTTGATATTGGAGCACTTTTTTTTGCTGACAAGTCTCAGACGGTTCTTTGAATTTTGTTTCTTGAACAATTATTGTAGGGAATCTTCATATCCAGTTCCGGAGATCAAACCCATGCTATGAGTGGAAATGGTAACCTCTCTCTCTCTCTCTCATGCACACCCCCACACATCCTTTAATTGCTTTTGCAACCTTATATCATTGTAATGCTCAAGTGCTTCAAAGGAGTGTAGCTGACGAAGTAAGCTCATCTCTGCAGGAGCTATGACCTTCGATTTAGAATATTCTCGATGGCAAGAGGAACAAAATAAGCAGATAAATGAGCTGAGGACTGCAGTAAATGCTCATGCAAGTGATAGTGACCTCCGTCTTATCGTCGATGGGATAATGGCACATTATGATGAGATATTCAGGCTGAAGGGCATTGCTGCAAAGGCTGATGTGTTCCATATACTTTCAGGCATGTGGAAAACACCTGCTGAAAGGTGCTTCTTGTGGCTTGGGGGTTTCCGTTCATCTGAGCTTCTAAAGGTGCATGCATATGATGTAGATCAAATTATATCACACCGCCTTTTATTTCAAATAGTTCTAGTATCTGCCTCAAAATGACGGATACCCCCACACACCACAACCACCACCACCACAGCACACACGCGCGCATCACCACCACCACCACCACCAATTTCATCACAGATATCAGGACTGTAATTTACAAGGTATCCCCCAATGTATCAATGACATGATGACATGCATCTCAAGGTCCTGCATGCTGTTGTCACATCCAATGGCATTTACCAATTTGTGACTCTAATAGATTTTCCCCGAAAACGAGTGCTGTGTAGATGCCCAAAACAATTTACAATTATAGCCTATAGCAGGAGTATTTTCCTTAGTAGGGTGTGAGTTTTTTTTATACAATTCGTACCATTCAATGGGTGTTTCTGCTTCAAGATGAACTATTCCTTACACTTTTGTAAAATTGCAGCTCCTTGTGAATCAGCTTGAGCCTCTAACTGAGCAACAATTGATGGGGCTATCCAATCTCCAGCAATCCTCCCAGCAGGCTGAGGATGCATTGTCACAAGGAATGGAAGCATTGCAGCAATCGTTGGCAGAAACGCTGGCTGGGTCCCTTGGTCCATCAGGATCTTCTGGGAACGTGGCAAACTATATGGGTCAAATGGCTATGGCCATGGGAAAACTTGGTACACTCGAGAATTTCCTTCGTCAGGTAACTTCCTGATACCTCTAACCCTGTCAAACATTTAGTTTTGTTGTTTCATGTCATTTGATTCGATACATTTTCCCTACTTCTAAGCAATATGTATGTAGCTCTTGATGTTTCTAGCTCTGAAGTCTTTGATGTTCTATTTGCATTAGGCTGACAATCTACGACAGCAGACCTTGCATCAGATGCAACGCATCCTGACAATCCGACAAGCCGCGCATGGCGCTTCTTGCAATCCATGACTACTTTTCACGTTTGCGCGCCCTGAGTTCTCTTTGGCTTGCTAGGCCACGAGAGTAACATCACCCACGTTGGGGTCACTCCATGAACTGATGATCTGTGAATGTGGGACTGCTGGCTTCAAACTCGCAACGCATTTGCAGATGACTGGAGGGTCAGTCCTCTCTGTACAAGCTGTATTAACATCTTCTGGTCTCATATTGTGCTTCAGTGTTGTACAAGTTAGGGTAAAGCTTGGATTAACTTGTAAGTAATCATGAATTTATGATTGACATATTGTATAATTGTATTAGCAATAAAAATAGACGTACATAAGTGCTGGAAGGATATCCAGCGTCTATATATTGGTTGGAAACGAGCAGCAGAAGCTTGTCATGTCGCTTTGAATATTCGGTTGAAGTGCTTTTTTGGGGTCTATACGGAACAAAGAAAGCTTCAGGAGAGGTGTAGGGATTCACCATAGTCCAGAGGCTACCAGAGATTGTGCTTCGAGGAGCTCCTTATGATGGTAAAATTTGCTAAACATTTTTGAGGATGAATTCTGTGACATTAAATTTAGTACACATTTTGACTCTGGATTCTGTAAACATTTTTTTCACGAGTTCTCGATGAGTAGCAACAAGTATCTAGGCAAGATCCGAACTTTTGCTTAAACCCATCGAAGAAGTGCCTATGCTTTTGATTCCTGTAGACTCCAGTATTTTTCTTTAAATTCTGGTAAAGCATCCAGGCGGCTAGCCAAGAATTTCACCCGTTGCTTTATACACGACATCGTCGACGTGTGTGTATTGTGTTAGTACAGCTACTCATACATCGATTCAACTTCGACGGCGGCTCCGGAGTCCAGCCTCAGGTCCAGCATAGGCCGGTCCAGCATACACTGTCGCTATCCATTTTCCCCGTCACAAGCTGCCACGAGCAATAGTCTTCTTCACTTCCTCGTTCCCAGTACTGGTCGAGGCGATCTGACGGAGGGAGCAGGCAAGTCAGCAAGTACCGCAGCACCAAGCAAGCGAGCAGCGCCGAAGATGTCAGGGCTCGCCGCGTCGGCGTCCGCAGCTCCGGCGCTGTCCTCCTGGTCCTCGCTGGCGACCTCGCGCTTCACCCCGGTGAGTACTCGCCACGAGCGCCTGTGGTATTGTATTCGCCATTCGGTGCCAGGATGAAGTGCTGGTTTTCTTCCCTTCCGGCGCGCGCGCTTAGGCGTTTAGCTTGCTCGATGAAATGCCTCCACCAATTCGCTGGGCGCTTGTGTGGTAGCGTTCTGGAGCAGTACGTGCCCGTGCTTGTCACACTTTACTCTTTGTTGCTTCTCTCAAGCGATAGACGAAGTCGCAGATTCACGGGGTGGTTGGCGAAGCTTTGGTTCGCCCGTGCCAGCGTGTGATCCTTGCTGGCCTTTCTTGGCCCTGGAACGCAAGTTTATAACATCATCTATGCTCTCGTTTTTGCCACGGGTTCCATATGATGCTGTTTTCTTCCCTTCCCTCCCGTGCCGGAGGTGGGGTGGTTGGGGGGGGGCGGGTACGGTGCATTGTTCAGGACAACTTAAGGGGCACATTGAATTGAACGTGCCAACATGCTCCTGTTTCGATATTCGAGGATGCGGCACACAGAAAAGGTGTGCTGGTTTTATGTGAACGCGTTTGGTTGACAGAACTCCTGTTGCATCAATAATCAATCCATAACATGGGAGAGATTATTTGTTGGTTTGAATGCTATGTTTTCCTTATGTTGTGCAGTACATGAATAAAAAACTTGTCTCCCTTTCCCCACCGTTAGTCAGGCCTCGTTTAGATTCCAAAAAATTTTGCGCAGTACCCGTCACATCGAATCTTGCGGCACATGCATAGAGTACTAAATGTAGACGAAAAAAAAACTAATTACACAGTTGGGTGAGAAATCGCGAGACGAAACTTTTGAACCTAATTAGTCCATAATTAGACACTAATTGTCAAATACAAACAAAAAGTGCTACAGTAGCCAAAATCCAAAATTTTTTGATCTAAACGGGGCAAGTCTTGCAAAAAAAGTGCTTCGCATTTGGTGGCTGACAGAGGAATCTATCACATCCGATTTTCTAGGCATTGATGATGGCGTGGAGTTTCTTAGTTTATTACTATTTGGTATTTACACATTGCTACATTCATCTACTGATATTTCTACTTAATGCTTCTGTACATAGGTTGCAGGACCTGCTCCAAGTTTCAGAACACAAGCTTGTGGATTGAGGTGCTGGATTGCTGCAAAGCTGAAACTCCGGAAGGCGTTGAAGAGGCATCATGGATGGCAACTTCAAAGAAATCTAGATGCTCGAGGGAATGATAAAGTTCCAGATTACTTGGGGGCTGCATCTCTGATTGAAAAGAGAAGTCATTGGAACATGCATCTTGCTTATGGTTGGCACTCTATTGGGAAATCAGTTGTCTTGAGTTCCGTTACTTTGCATGTGCAGATGTGCTTATCATAGTTGTCACTATTGTCCTAATGCCTTATGATTTCCTCAGTGCTGCTGACACTGGATTGCTTCATACCTTTGATAGTTACATTCAATTTGCATTAGCATTATAAATAAATAAAAAAGCTCAAGAGAAACTTTCTTTGTCATATCATCTTACAACTACTTTTTACTGCAAACTTCTTGGGAATTTTTGTCTTTATGGTTTCATGTTTACCTGACTGTTTCCCCTTTATGCAGATTCTGGAGGTGAAATGGTCAATACAAGCTCTGATACTTTGGATAGTTCAACTGATCAGGAAAAATCAGTGCCTCAGGGACACATCCCCTCTGAAATCAGTTCTCCTGTTCAAAAGGAAGAGTCTGCTGTGCCCAGAAGACACTCCAACAATGAACCATCTCTTTGCATTGCTGTGATTGGAGCTGCCGGCGAGCTGGCAAGAACTAAAGTTTTTCCAGCACTATTTGCTCTGTATTACAGTGGTTTTCTTCCTCGGGTATGAACATAGAATAGCTTCTGCTACTGTCACTTTCATGTTACACCTTTCATTTTCATTTTTTATGCTGCAGAATGTTGGTATATTTGGGTATTCTAGGAAGAAATTAACAGATGAGGGCTTAAGATCTATAATTGAAGCCAATTTGACCTGCCGGGTGGATCACCAGTATGTTATTTGGCAACTTTTCATATGATATTTTTTATCATGGCAGTTGCATTGACAAAAAATTAGCACCGAATTTAGTATCTATACTATTTCCCTTTATAGCTTTGAGATCAATATAACTAATTATTATAGCCAACCCATTATTATGATGCCTTTAATAAGCTGCAAAGCATGGTTTTAGACCAAGCGATCTGTTGTTTAGGGTGGTGCTTGACACCACTTTACAACAACAACAACAAAGCCTTTAAGTCCCAAACAAGTTAGGGTAGGCTAGAGTTGAAACCCAGCAGAAGCAATCAAGGTTCAAGCACATGAATAGCTGTTTTACAAGCACTCCTATCTAAGGTTAAGTATTTGAGTATATTCTATCCATTCAAGTCTCCTTTTATTGCCTCTACCCAAGTCAACTTCGGTCTTCCTCTGCCTCTCTTCACGTTACTATCCTAGCTTAGGATTTCACTACGTACTAGTGTCTCTGGAGGTCTCCATTGGACATGTCCAAACCATCTCAACCGGTGTTGGACAAGCTTTTCTTCAATTGGTGCTACCCCTAATCTATCACGTATATCATCGTTCCGAACTCGATCCCTTCTTGTATGACCGCAAATCCAACGCAACATACGCATTTCCGCGACACTTATCTATTGAATCTGTCATCTTTTCGTAGGCCAACATTCTGCACCATACAACATAGCAGGTCTAATCGCCATCCTATAAAACTTATCTTTTAGCTTCTGTGGTACTCTTTTGTCACATAGGACACCAGATGCTTGGCGCCACTTCATCCACCCTGCTTTGATTCTATGGCTAACATCTTCATCAATATCTCCGTCTCTCTGTATCATTGATCCTAAATATCGAAAGATATCCTTCCTAGGCACTACTTGATATTCCAAACTAATATCTTCCTCCTCCCGAGTAGTAGTGCCAAAGTCACATCTCATATACTCAGTTTTAGTTTTATTGAGTCTAAAACCTTTGGACTTCAAAGTCTCCCGTCATAACTCCAGTTTCTGATTCACTTATGTCCGGCTTTCATTAACTAGCACTACATCGTCCGCGAAAAGCATACACCAAGGGATGTCTCCTTGTATGTCCCTTGTGACCTCATCCATCACTAAGGCAAACAAATAAGGGCTCAAAGTTGACCCTTGATATAGTCATATCCTAATCGGGAACTCATCCGTGTCTCCATCACTTGTTCGAACACTAGTCACAACATTGTTGTACATGTCCTTAATGAGCCCGACGTACTTCGTTGGGACTTTATATTTGTCCAAAGCCCACCACATAACATTTCTTGGTATTTTATCATAAGTCTTCTTCAAGTCAATAAAAACCATGTGTAGGTCATTTTTCTTCTCCCTATACCGCTCCATAACTTGTCTTATTAAGAAAATGGCTTCCATGGTTGACCTTCCGGGCATGAAACCAAATTGGTTCACAGAGACCCGCGTTATTGCTCTCAAGCGATGCTCGATAACTCTCTCCCATAGCTTCATAGTATGGCTCATCAACTTAATTCCCCGGTAATTAGTACAACTTTGAATATCCCCTTTATTCTTGTAGATTGGTACCAATATACTTCTCCTCCACTCGTTAGACATCTTGTTCGATCGAAAAATATGGTTGAACAGCTTGGTTAGCCATACTATAGCTATGTCCCTGAGACATCTCCACACCTCGATTGGGATACCATCTGGTCCCATCGCCTTACCTCCTTTCATCATTTTCAACGTCTCTCTGACCTCAGATTCTTGGATTCTCCGCACAAAGTGCCTATTAGTGTCATCAAAAGAGTCATCCAACTGAAAGGTTATGTCCGTATTCTCACCATTGAACAATTTGTCAAAATACTCTTGCCATCGATGTCGGATCTCATCCTTCTTCACCAAGAGATGCTCTCTTTCATCCTTAATGCACTTAACTTGGTTGAAGTCCCTTGTCTTTCTCTCACGAACCCTAGCCATCCTATAAATGTCATTCTCTCCTTCCTTCGTACTCAAATATTGGTAAAGATCCTCGTACGCTCTACCCTTTGCCACACTTACAGCTCGCTTTACAGTTTTCTTTGCTACCTTGTACTTCTCTATGTTGTCCACACTTATGTCATGGTACAAGTGTCTATAGC